AATGAGTGATCACAGTGTATTGACATTTGAGCATTTGGCGGAGGTAGGAATAACCAATCCAAGGATGGGATTGGAAGGGAAAAGACTAAATTACCGAAGCGGAAAATATGACGAGATGTGGAACTTCCTAAGGGGAATACCATGGGAAACAGAACTCAGAGGGAAGACTGTGCTGGATATATAGGATTATCTCACCCAGATGTATCAGGAAGCTGCAAACAAGTTTATCTCAGTCCAAAAGGAGAAAAACAAAAAACAGAATAATCCATGGTTCAACCAGGAATGTAAGGTAGCGAAGCAATTGAATAAAAGAACACGGAAAACTTCAGGAATAAAAGAACACCAGGGAGCAGGGAGAGATACCAGAGGGCAAGAAATGAGTACCTCAGAGTGAGGAGGGAAGCAGAGAGACTGTATGAAAATGACATAGCGAGTAAACCCAAGACCCAACCAAAGCTGCTCCACAGCCACATTAGGAGGAAAACAGCAGTGAAGGAACAAGTGATGAAACTGAGATAAGGGGAGAACAGTTACACAGAGAATGACAAGGAGGTGTGTGAAGAACTCAACAAGAGATTCCAAGAGGTTTTCACAGAAGAACAAGGAGAAGCCCCTGCACTAAATGAGGAGGCAAACCAAGCAACCTTGGAGGATTTTGACCTCACCAGTGATGAGGTCAAAAGGAATCTGTTGGAGCTGAATGTGACAGAGGCTGTTGGGCCTGACAGAATCTCACCATGGATACTAAAGGAAGGTGCAGAAGCACTAAGTTTGCCACTCTCTATGGTGTATAACAGGTCACTGGAAACAGGAGACCTACCAGAAAGTTAGAGGAGAGCTAATTTAGTCTCAATATACAAAAAGGGTGACAGGCAAGAGGCACTGAATTACAGGCCAGTTTCCTTAACTTGTATACCATGCAAGGTGATGGAGAAGATTGTGAGGAAAAGGCTCGTAGAGCATCTGGAGGGAAATAACTTTGTAACGCACCACCAACATGGGTTCAGAGATGGTAAATCGTGCCTCACAGGGTTAATAGAATTCTATGACCAAGGAACAAAAATTAGGCAAGAAAGATCAGGGTAGGCAGACTGCATTTTCTTGGACTGTCAGAAAGCCTTTGACACAGTACCCAATAAAAGGCTGTTACAAAAGTTGGAGCAACAGGCAGGAGTAAAAGGGAAGGTGCTCTAGTGGATAAGGAAGTATCTAAGCAACAGGAAACAGCGAGTAACTGTGAGAGGGGGAGAGGTGACATCAGAGTGTCGAGATGTCACCAGCGGAGTCCCACAGGGCTCTGTACTTAAGCCAATCCTGTTTCTTATATATGTAAACGATCTTCCTGAGGGTATAGACTCATTCGTCTCAATGTTTGCTGATGATGCAAATATTATGAGAAGAATCAAGACAGATGAAGATAGACAGAGACTACAGGATGACCTGGACAAACTGGAGGAATGGTCTAGAAAATGGCTACTAATGTTCAACTCAGAAAAGAGTAATGAAATTAGGCGAAGTGAGCAGAAGGCTGAACACAAGGTACCATCTAGGAGGTGAAATCCTGCAAGAGTCAAATAGAGAGAAGGATCTGGGGGTTGATATCACACTAAACCTGTCTCCAGAAGACCACATCAAAACGATATCATCAACGGCAAATGCTAGGCTGGCCAACATAAGAAGTGCTTTTAGAAACTTGTGTAAGGAATCGTTCAGGACCCTGTATACCATTTAAGTCAGACCAATCCTGAAATATGCAGCTCCAGCCTGGAGTCCATACCTAATTAAACACCAGACAAAGATTGAGACGATTCAGTGGTATGCCACCAGACTCGTCCCAGAACTGAGAGGTATAAGCCACGAGGAAAGGCTGAAGGAGCTGAACCTCACATTCCTGGAAAACAGAAGAGTAAGGGGAGACATGATAACCTCCTACAAAAATCTCAGGGGATTTGACAGGGTGGACAAAGACAAATTCTTCTGCAAGGTTGGAACACGAACAAGGGGGTACAGGTGGAAACTTAGTACCCAAATAAGCCACAGAAATATTAGAAAGAATTTTTTCAGTGTCAGAGTAGTTAACAAATGGAATGCACTAGGTAGTGATGTGGTGAAGGCTGACTCATACACACACAGACCACGTGTGTGGTCAGTCGTGGTGGGTGGATGGTCGTGGGTTGGGAGCTTCTGGGTTAATACCGAAGTGGGAGGGATAATCAGGCTACTTCAAAGTGAAAAGAGTATATAAGTGAATGAAAAACTTGGAATTTGACTCAAACCATAAGGATGTGAAGAAAGAATGTAGGTAAAAATACCCTAATTGAAAATAGGTGTTGAACACATTGTGGGAGTGTGAGGTAGTGGAGCAGACCTCACGCTGACTGTGACCTCACCAGCCTCAACCTGTGACCGACGTGACCTCACCCCGGCAGCCACCCCTAGTACACCACGTGGGGGAGACGCCTGGAGACTCACTCACCTATATTGTGTATAGCAGATCAGTGAGGTAATTGGAACGCCTGTGGGTAAGGTTGTTTATTGCAATGACTAGATCAGGAAGGGCGTCTAGGTCTAACAGTATTATGAATGAAGAAAATAGGTTTGTGGAGAAGCTGACTGGGAAATTTGTTGGGAGGAGGGATGTTTGGATAGAGAATCTAATCCAAGGAATTAAAAATGAGATATTTAAACAAATACAAGACGAGGCTGAGAGAAAAAATAAGTGCTTATGGATTACATTCAGGTAGAAATTAGAAAGGGTTGAGAAGCATGGGAAAGTGCATGTACTTGGCTTGCAAATGAATTTGGCAGGAATAACAGCATGGCTAGGGAGAGCGGAGTAGTGGAAGATGGAGTAGCGAGTGTGCGAGGGATGGTGGGTATCCAGAGGAGGAGCGACCAGCATAGAGGGCGTCACTGAGAAGGCAGTCAATTAACCTCCATGGATTATTGAAATCCAAGGCATCATCGAGACATGAAAAGATGGAGATGGAAGAATTTGAGTGACAGGAGATTTTGAGATGTATTAGAGCTCAGATGGCAGGAAATGAGGTCGAAATTAGCCGCCGGATTGGACCTTACAACTGTAACAAGAATCGACTTGTCCTGGTACAGTTTTCTAGTGAAGAGGCGGTGGATTACACACTGCAACACAAACATTTACTCAGAGGCAGCGGAAACTATTACAACAAGTTTATTGATAGATACATAACAAAAGATCCAAGAAAGGCGGGATCCAAGAGTCAGTGCTCGAACTTTCAGGCACAAATAGGTGAGTACACATATAGTATGCTTGTGTATGTGAAAAAAACAGTTGAGAGGCGGATCGAAAGAGCCGGAGCACAACCCCCGCAAGTACAAGTAGCTGAGTACACACACAGACACACAAACCAACTAAGTAAGTACACACACACACATACAAAGATCCAGAGAACCTAGTTCTTTGAATGGATATTTTTGGAGGTGGCAAACACCTATATGGACAGTATTGCAAAAATCATTTCATTAGATGGTGAGGATGTGGTTGTGGTTGTTATCTACAACTCCCAACAGAACCACAGAAGACAGAGACAAGAATATGAATTTACAAACAGAGCATGCTCTAATATTCTCCATGGTGTGACAGACACTGCTCATAGACTGATAGCAAACCACCTAGTAATGGGAGACTTCAACAAAAGCCAAATCATCTGGGAACAACGGACCCAAATAAAACATTGAGATCAAAGCTCGTAGAAGTAATAGAAAGGATCTTCCTGGTGCAACATGTCAGGAAGATAACAAGGAGAAGGGGTGGCAACCAACCAGCTAGGCTTACTCTGGTCTTCACACAGAATGAGATGGGAATTGAAAATAGTGACTATGAAAAGTCAATTGGGGCCAGTGAACACTGTTTTATCTTTGAAGAGCTAACATCAAAATATATGAATAGAGTGGATAAGCTCTGTTCATATCTCTCTCTCTCTCTCTCTCTCTCTCTCTCTCTCTCTCTCTCTCTCTCTCTCTCTCTCTCTCTCTCTCTCTCTCTCTCTCTCTCTCTCTCTCTCTCTCTCTCTCTCTCTCTCTCTCTCTCTCTCTCTCTCCTCTCTCCTCCTCTCTCTCTCTCTCTCTCTCTCTCTCTCTCTCTCTCCTCTCTCTCTCTCTCTCTCCTCTCTCTCTCTCTCTCTCTCTCTCTCTCAATAAAAATGAATTTTGGAGAATTGATTTTTGAATTACCACCAGCAGTGAAAAGAAATGTACGAAAGATTGAGAAAATTCGCGTTAGAATTATTAATCTTACTTTTTCGGTCATATTTAATAATATATGTCTACAGGAAAGACTGCTACCAAAATATACTAATATATATATATATATATATATATATATATATATATATATATATATATATATATATATATATCGAGGCGAGGTCACCAAATTATTAAAAGACTTAAATACTTTGGGATGGTGCTAAATGATAAACTGTTTACAATCAATACCAAGAGAATAAGAGGAAGAAAATTTAAGCTTTTAGAAAAACATGATCCAGAAAAATTTCAAGATTTTTTTTCAAACGTAAAATCAGTGCGAAAATTGAATAATCTAAGTGAGCAGGTTATCGAAGTCACCTCTACTTATAACTTCCAAAGAACATAAAATGAAGAAGTATGCCAGGAGTCGTTACATGAAAGGCAGGGCCCAAGAGCGAAAGCACCATCCTACAAGCACAATTAGGTGAGTAAAATCACTCATATAGACTCCCCACACATGGAACACTCATATAGACTCCCCACACATGGATCACTCATATAGACTCCCCACACATGGAACACTCATATAGACTCCCCACACATGGAACACTCATATAGACTCCCCACACATGGAACAAACACAGAAACATGAAAATATAAACACGAACATTCCTGAGCGTATATAACCACTGTAGCTTGTCCTCACGCTATGCATCATGCCAACGTGTTGTCCTTAGAGCACTTATTTCACTGCTGAAAAACACTGCACGTCCTTAACAAGCAGAATATGTGAGATAGATTGTCAGGCAATGTTGGGTATGGTGGGAAGGTGTGGGCGGTGGCCGGGTGGGGCGGGTGGCGCTGGTGGTGGCCGGGTGGGGGCGGGTGGCGCCGGTGGTGGCCGGGTGGGGGCGGGTGGCCGGGTGGGGGCGGGTGGCGCCGGTGGTGGCCGGGTGGGGGCGGGTGGCGCCGGTGGTGGCCGGGTGGGGGCGGGTGGCGCTGGTGGTGGCCGGGTGGGGGCGGGTGGCGCCGGTGGTGGCCGGGTGGGGGCGGGTGGCGCCGGTGGTGGCCGGGTGGGGGCGGGTGGCGCCGGTGGTGGCCGGGTGGGGGCGGGTGGCGCCGGTGGTGGCCGGGTGGGGGCGGGTGGCGCCGGTGGTGGCCGGGTGGGGGCGGGTCATGAATTATGCATGTGATTGATTACGTAACACGCAGGTGTAGGTCCTGCCTCCTACTGTCTGTGTCACACGCTGCTTCCTTCTCTTCCTCACCTACCTGTACACTTCCACGCATTCACACACACACACACACACACACACACACACACACACACACACACACACACACACACACACACACCACACACACACACACACACACACACACACACACAGGCTGGTGTACTCACCTAGTTATGCTTGCGAGGGTTGAGCAATGGCTCTTTGGTCCCGCCTCTCAACCGTAAATCAACAGGTGTACAGGTTCCTGAGCCTATTGGGCTCTATTATATCTACACTTGAAACTGTGAATGGAGTCAGCCTCCACCACATCATTTCGTATTGCATTCCATTTGTCAACCACTCTGACACTAAAAAAGTTCTTTCTAATATCTATGTGGCTCTTTTGGGCACTCAGTTTCCACCTGTGTCCCCTTATGCGTGTTCCCCTTGTGTTAAACAGCCTGTCTTTATCTACCCAATCAAATCCCTTCAGAATTTTGATGTGGTGATCATGTCCCCCCTAACTCTTCTGTCTTCCAGCGAAGTGAGGTTTAATTCCCGTAGTCTCTCCTCGTAGCTCATACCTCTCAGCTCGGGTACTAGTCTGGTGGCAAACCTTTGAATCTTTTCCAGTTTAGTCATATGCTTGACTAGATATGGACTCCATGCTGAAGCCGCATACTCCAGGATTGGTCTGACATATGTTGTATATAATGTTCTGAAAGATTCCTTACACAAGTTTCTAAAGGCCGTTCGTTGGTGTGTGTGTGTGTGTGTGTGTGTGTGTGTGTGTGTGTGTGTGTGTGTGGATGAGTAGACAGCACTCTAGACTTGTGGCCCTAGGGACAGGGGTTCGATCCCCGCAACCAGCGGAGACAGATGGGCAGAGTTTCCTTCATCCTGATGCCTCTGTTACCTAGCAGTAAATAGGTACCTGGGAGTTACACAGCTGCTAAAGGCTGTTTCCTGTGTGTGGGTTGGTGGGTAAGGGGGGGGGGGTGTAAATTTAGTTAGTAGTTAGTATCAGTTGATTGATTGACAATTGAGAGGCGGGCCAAAATTGCAGAGCTCAACCCCCGAAAGCATAACTAGCTGAATACACACACACACAAGGCAATGTAAAGTGTAAAGGCAATATGCAAATGATAGCAAACAAGGCAAAGACTCAACCCAAACTGCTTCACAGCCACATCTGGTGAGAAACAACAGTTAAGGAACAGGTAATGAAATTGAGGATAAGGGTAGACAGATTCACTACAAACGACAAGGAAGTGTGTGAGGAACTCAATAAGAAACTCCAGAAGGCCTTCACATTAGAGCAAGGAGAAGTCCCGGAGATAAGAGAGGGAATATCTAACCAGTTACCACTTAGAGAGGTTTGTGATTACCAGCGGAAAGGTGAGGAAGCATCTGCTAGATTTGGATGTGACAAAGGCTATAGGCCCGGATGGAATGTTACCATAGATACTAAAGGAAGGAGCAGAAGCTCTCTGCCTGCCACTCTCCCTAATGTATAACAAATCACTGGTAACACGTGAACTCCCCAAAATTTGGAAGACGGCTAATGTAGTCTCGATATAGAAGAAGGATGACAGACAGGAGGCACTGAAATACAGACCAGTGTCCCTAACTTGCATACTATACAAGTTGAAGATTTTGCAAAAAAAACTAGTTGAACATTAGGAATGAAAGAACTTTGAAACACAGCATCAACATGGGTTCAGGGAGGGCAAGTCATGCCTCACACGATTAATTGACTTCTACGACCAGGCAATACAAATCAGGCAAGGAAGAGAGGGGTGGGCAGACTGCATATTTTTGGATTGCCAGAAAGCTTTTGACACAGTGCCACACAAGAGACTAGTGCACAAGCTGGAGATGAAGGCAAGAATGAACGGGAAGGTATTCAATTGAATAAGGTAGAACCTAAGCAACAGATGACGGCGAGTCACTGTGAGGGGCGAGGTCTCAGATTGGTGAGGTGTCACCAGTGGAGTCCTACAGGGTTCAGTCCTTGGACCTATGCTATTTCTGATATTTGTAATTATTAATAAATAATTCTCTGAAGTCTCTGAATTCTCATAAACACAATTTACCTTCTTGTATATAAATATATAAATAAATAAATTAATAAATAAATCTCTCAGAGGGAATAGACTCGTTCGTCTCATTGTTTGTTGATGATGTAAAAATTATGAGGAGGATTAAGACGGAAGAAGAGAGTATGAGGCTTCAAGATGTCCTAAACATAATGAATGGTTCAACAAATGGCTACTAAAGTTCAACCCGAGTAAATGTAAGGTAATCAAACTAGGCGGTGTAAAAAGGAGGACAGACAAAGGATACCGAATGGAAGATAAATTCCTTCATGAAACAGACAAAGAGAAAGATCTAGGAGTTGATATCACGCCAAACCAGTCTCCTGAAGCCAACATCAGAAGAACAACATCAGCGGTGCATGCAATGCTGGTTAACATCAGAATTGCCATCAGGATCCTCTGTAAGGAATCATTCATAACCTTGTATACCACATATGTAAGACCAATCCTGGAGTATGCGGCCCCAGCATGATGCCCGTACCTTATCAAGCACAAGAGGAAGCTGGAAAAAGTTCAGAGATATGCCACTAAGCTAGTCCCAAAACGAAAAGGCATGAATCACAAGGAAAGGTTGTGTGAAATACACCTCACGTCGCTAGAAGACAGGAGAACTCGGGGAGACATGATCACTACCTACAAAATGTTTGGCGGAGGCATGTTTACCACCAGTAGTGGAACTCAAATGGCGTAGTACCTCAAGATACACGAAAGATACAGTGATGAAAATCTGCCAAATAAGGCATAAGGGGTACCAGAACGGTATGGCCAAATTTTTAGGGCTAATATGTAAGCTTTATGACAAGTGAAAAATCCAAGTTATGTTAGCACCAAGAAACAGTACAGACTCTATACCGCAGGACGGCAGGACAAGGGATTAATTATACTCACCAGATGTGCATTCAGGGTGAGCTATGGTGTTTGCAAGCATTCTGTTAGTTAGATAAAGATGCAATGACTCGTTACTCAGAATATTATTAATCTGAAAGAATGTCTTTGTCCTCCTCCCCAACCACTTATGTATCCCACCTACTCCACCTCCCCCCCCCAACCAGAAGACATCCATCCAACCATGCCTTTCCCCAACCCAGCTTTTCCAACTCTGCCTCCCCTCATCTCTGCCTCCCCTCATCTCTGCCTCCCCCAACCAGCCTTCCCACAATTCTCCAACACTCTCCTTACTCTATGCTGTACCTACATAGTACCTCTGAATGGTATCTCTGAATCAATGAATACACATGTATCTCTGAATTGAAATTAAACCATGGTAGGGGAGAGATAGCATATCATGGAAAGACTCAGTACGATGGGAAGAAAGGAGGATGAAACCTCAGGGGAGACAAAGTATAAAACAAGAATTTAAATTCACCAGGAGATAGAAGACACGACGGAGCAAATGGAAGACAGAGTGAGAAGTCTCACCAAAGGTGGATTCAGACGATAATGTTGTTGAATGATGACTGCAAGAAACAGATTGAGGATTTAAGTGAGAATTTTTAAAGCAAAATGTCCAAAATTGGAGAGGAATTATGGAATTTCAGAGTAAAGGAGGCGACAACTAAGGAAAAACAATGTCAGGAGAGAATAATGAAACATGACAGGGAAACTAAAAACTTTTGGCAGAAGGAAATGGAGAAAATGAAAGTAACTTGGGAATATAAATTACAGAAGTTTGATGCAAAATTGGAACAAAATATAAGAACATTGATTTTTTTTCCAAATATAAGAAATTATTTACTGTTCCAGGAAAGGCTAGCCACCATTGAGGCTAAACTCGAAAATGTAAATTCTATAAATGACACCATAGGGCCCAATTAGTCATGATTGGCAACATCCATCAACCAAAAATGGTGTTGAATGCTGCCCTCCAAATAGCAAATTCACAGAAGATGAGAGAACAAGACTAGAAAAATCATACAAAAGGAGAGATCGATAATCATTCAGGGACTGCCTGAGGTAACAATAGCAGAAACCAAGGCAGCCTATATTCTATTGGAGAATTATTCTCCAAGGGGTGACAGACACTGCCGATAAACTGAAAGAAAAGCTCCTAGTAATCAAAGACCTCAACCATAGTCAAAATCATCTTATGAAAAGATGGACCTAAGAGGAGGAGATGAAACTGAGAGCAAAGTTTGTAAAAGTAGTATAGAGGAACTTGCTGATGCAACATGACAGGGAGGAAACAAAGAGAAGGGGTTGGAGACCAACCAGCTAGGCTACATTGGGTCTTCACACACAATGAGTCGGGTATTGAAAACATTGACTATGAAAAAGGTCACACGACTTATGGTCCAGGACGGACTGAAACGTCATCGCTTCTCCATCTTCTGAGTTGTGGTTTGGTCATCATTGACTATGACATCTCGTTAGGAGCCAGTGACCAGTGTTTTATCTTTGAATACACAGTTACAATGTAGACCATAAACAAATGTAACAAGGGGGGGGGGGGAATGTAAGGCTAGCATACAGGATAGGAGAATACCAGAAAGGCAGGGAATTCATGGGGCGGATAGAATGGGGAAGAAACCTCCGAAAAATCAAACAAAACACACGATGGACTACGTACCCGGCAGACTCAGAGAGGCTCAAGAAAGATTTATACCACCATTATGGACTAAGGGAAGCAAGACGAGCATTAGCCCATGGTTCAACAGTATCTGGAACATATATACTATTGAAAAGAGCACAGAAGAAGTATTGAGAACACGGAACATAAGGAAATCATAATGCATACAAAAAGGCCAGAAAAGTGTACACACAAACTAGGAAAGTGGCAGAGAGACAGAACGAGAAAGACATTGTATACAAGGCTAAGTTCGAGCCAAAACTGCTCTACAGTCATATGAGGAGGAAGATGACTCT